TCTCTCTCTAAAAGCGGAGAGGGAACTGTTGAAGGGGGAATTTAATATTATATATTATTATTATTGAAAGATTAAATTAAAAAGTATTTTGTATTTCAAATCGAAAGATTGAAAGTATTTTTATTTTGTATTTCAAATCGAAAGATTGAAAGTATTTTTATTTTGTATTACAAATTGTATTACAAAGATTAAAAGTATTTTACATTTTGTAATTTATAAAATACTAAGATATTCCCAGTATTTTGTATTTTGTATTTTAAATACTTTAATGGTGTATTTTGCCCAGCCCTGTACAGTATAACATCGACGCGCACGTTTAATCCGCGGCGCATCGCACACAGCCACATGACGTTGCGATGTGACATCAGCTTTTTCAGCAGCCCGGCAGCCTCGTCCGCGCGCGAAGACCACTTAATAATTCCTTATAACTTATGCATAGACGAGGGCGCTGTTTTTTTATCATCGGAAATCATCTCTTATCTTCGCGCGCGCAAAAAGTATCCAACCACGGTTACAGTCGCGAGAGGAAGAACCCAGAGATTTTAGAGGACGGAATTTTACGTCGCATATTATGGCGCGCGCGTCACGTAACGAGCTAATTTCTTTCTCCGAGAGCGAGAGACCGATTAGAATTCTCGACGTGCCTCCGCCGTGATTTCTGAACGCGCTGGTTGTCGCGCGTGCGAGTGTCGTGTGCGCGCGGGAAGTGCAGGTTCAATTGAACTTCATACTCCGAGATACTCGTGGTCGCGAGATAACTCTCGATTTGTGATAAATCTTATCTTATAAAGGTTTATTTTTGCTCGACGTATTAAAAGTTTTCATGTAATTTGCACCTAAACACGTAACTGTTTCCGTTAATTGCGTTTTTATTGGCAAAAGAAAACCGCGCGTAATTATGATAAGCACTTGCGAAAAAGGATTACGAGTTAATGCATGTATCGTGTAACTTCTCTTCGCAATGTTGTGTGCGTTTCCGATGCAACAGAGAAGCAGCTCTCTCTCTCTCTCTTTCTCTCTCTCTCTCTCTCTCTCTCTCTCTCTCTCTCTCTCTCTCTTCCCTCTCCTCCTCTTCCTTCCTCCGCTTCCTTTACTTTTATATATTATATTTATTTTCATTTTCTTTTTTTCTTCACGGAAAGAACAATTTTGCTGAATTCAGATCGAGAAAATAATTTTTGTTCAATAATCAAAATAATTTTGTGCGGAAGTCAATCAAAATGATTGCTAGAATATCAAAACGTTTTCTAGCAATGCTTTTATCAGCATTTTAACATTCCAACAAATTATTTTGATGATTCACCAAGAAATTATTTTCAGATCTGTATTTAGTAAAATTTCTAGACCTTTCAACAAAATCGTTCTTTCCGTGTTCGAATCTTCTAATAACTAATTTATAATCGCATTATTTTCTAAATTTATTTTTTCTGTTTTTTTTTTATCTATCTCGCATTTATTTTTCTGGTGTTCTCTGTGTCACTTTATCAATCTTTCGTTAGATTGTGTTCTTTTGTATTTTGTACATCGTTATCTCTTGATTTTCCGTTATTTTGCTTGTGATTTGTTCTCAGAGGGCTTGCCCTAGAATAATAAACCCACAGCAGTAATAAACGCTTTATATATCTCGTTCTCTTTCCTTTTCTCTTTCTCTTACTGATACACTTAGCCCACAGAGGCAGGTCCATTGAACTCGTTGGAAACCGCGACTCGTAACGCGGCTATGCATCATCCCGTAATATAGGACAAGAGGCATTAAACGCAAAACCGGCCGCAGCAGATAATACAATACGACACACACGCGGCGATACCGTACATGCGGCGCGTGAGGTCACGGATGCGCGCATGTGTTCGCATACTGTAATCTTACATAAGTCGCGCTCGTTTATCGATATCCTCTTTACCGGATCAGCATCCGACGCATCCGGCTGGCTCTTTTTAATGACACTCGAATAAACCTTTCCGGCCTGTCGGTTATCGAGCGAGACTTGCATATACCTCGCATCTTTCTCTCTCCCTCTCTCTTTCTCTCTCTCTCTCTTTCTCCGTCCTTGATTTTATTTATACACCGCGAAAGCGCGATATTTCTCTTATCTCTCGCTCTTCTCCATCTAATTTTAATCGAATTACGGATATAACATTGAATTTATTTTCTGCCACCTTCATGCAAATAGCAAGCTCCTATTTTAATCTCGAGAAAAGATTTTTGCTACACGGAAAGAATTAATTTGTTGAAAGGTTGAAAGCTAAAAATTTTGCTAAACACAGATCTGAAAATAATTTTTGTTCAGTAATCGAAATAATTTGTTGGAAAGTTAAGAATAATAGGCATTGCTATAAAACGTTTTGATATTCTAGCAATCATTTTGACTTTCCAACAAAATTATTTTGATTATTGAACAAAAATTATTTTCCGATCTGGATCCAGCAAAATTGTTCTTTCCGTGTATCTTTATATACCCTTAAGGGAGATCCTTGCGCGGGGAAATCTCGAGATCTCGTTAACGCAATCAGTGTAATTAAACGGCGCGCCGTACATATTCGCGGATTCCTCCCTCGCCAATTTGGTAAACGAAGGAGACAATTAGCGATATCCGCAATAATGTCAGATCACGAGATTACGAGACAATCTTCGCTTTCAGGCATTACGCGCTTGATCATCAAAGGAACTGGATTCTCTCGTCTCGGCGACGGCATGTCGGCGCTTTAATTTCGTCCTTCCATGGGGCGAGTACCATGTTCCTCTGACCGACGACGACGACGCTCGCATTATCCGGAAAGCTAAAGGAAACGAAGGAATCATGGCGTTCTACGACGTGGGAACGGGCGACCTCAAGGAGTTGTGGGAGTCCTACATGACCGAGCCGGTGAGTGCGCGCAACCCTTATATACATAGGTACACGGAAAGAACAATTTTGCAGTATCCACACGGAGAGAATTTTTTAAAATTTGCCCTGCAAATCATGTTAATTGTGGGACAATATAGTATTTAGGCAAATTTTACTGTGCACTACAATAAATTTTACAGTAGTAAAATACAGTAAAAGTTATTGTAGTGCACAGTAAAATTTGCCTAAATACTATATTGTCTCACAATTAACATGATTTGCAGGAAAAATTTAAAAAAAATTCTCTCCGTGCAGATTTGAAAATAATTTTTGTTCCACAATCAAAATAATAAAATAATTTTATGGGAAAATTAAAATAATTGCTAGACTATCAAAACGTTTTCTTAGTAAAATACTTATCATTTTCAACATTCCAACCAAATTTTTTGATGATTCAACACGGAGAGAATTTTATTTTAAAATTTATCCTGAAAACCATGTTAATCATAGAACAATATATAGTATTTCAAGAACTTTTATGTGATTTTCATTATTTTTTTAAATATATACTATAACAAATTTATTGTAGTGCACAGTGAAATTTGCCGAAATACTGTATTGCCCCACGATTAATATGATTATGTAAATTTTAAAAGGAAATTCTCTCCGTGAGCAAGAATTAATTTTCAGATCTATTTTCAGTAAAATTTTTAAAACCTTTCAACAAAATCGTTTTTTCCGTGTATATAAACCGATTCGTCCGACAGGCAGGAAAAGCCGCGATGAATTTTGACGTTGAGAATTTTCTTGTAAATGAGAATAATGGCGATTTCTTAAACTTTGCGGAGCCACTTCGAAAACGGACGCGCTCGTCCTCTATCCGCCCGTATATATACGCCGCTCACGAATTACTTGCGCCTACGTGACATCTTATTATATACGTTCTCGAGGAAAAGTGCGCCCGTTCACGATCTCGAACGAAAGGAAGGCTCCGTTGGGGATCGTAGGGACGCCTACGTCCTTTTGAGGGCCGCACGTAGGTACGTCCGCAATCCTCCGCGTTATTCGAGTATTCGTGTCAAATCCGAAGAGACAGTCGACGGCCCGTTCAGTGCCGTCAGGAATATATCACCGGTGCATTGAGGATATATTTTTAAACACCGAGGGAATACCTTATTATTATTTCCTTTATCTATTACGCTGCGAATGGTTTATACATTTATTTTACAATATTATTTTACTATTTTTATAATACCATTCTTAGAAGTGTTATTTTTACGAGCCTCATTTTATGCGAAATGCAAGGAACGCGCATGAAATTTATCGACTGAATGTCATTGGAAAATACATTTCTGTCTCTTACACGTTCCCGATAAGAACCGTACCGCGCGATAACAGAGTGCGATATTTGATATTAAAATGTCATATATATTTTACAACTTTTATTTGCAACTTTTTTAATTCTCAACCGATATAACTATATATAGTCGAATTTACAAGTTAAAATGTAATATTTAAATTGACCGCGTTGGAAATTCAAAATAAGGTTTTCATCAAAATGAATTCCAGTCTAAAGTCGAATCCCTTTTTCTACCGTGTATTTTTTTTTCAATCAGTCGCTATTTTTTTTAAACTTAATGCATATCTTCAGCTCTTCAAAGAAAGTGCATGACAGCCGTTGAATTATGAATAATAACGGGCGCGTATAGGTACACGCTTGCATATGCATGCATCGCGCCACATTGTCGTTTATCAACGCGCTCACGGTGACACGCTTGCAACTTGCGCTAATTAAGCTTAAGGAAATGAGGAAGCCGACAAATTTACATGATAGCGCCTCGTCGAGTCGGGGACGAAAACGCGTCACGAGCGTCATGCCGATAATTCTTCCGCCAGCCGCACAGTCGGACGGCCGCGTCGCGTCTGGTTCCTCCGCTCGGAAAGGGGAGCCTCACCCCGCGCGTATTACATATCTATTCTTGCCATCCTACGCGACGGAAGCTATAATTTTTCATCGCTCGTTGCATTCGCGCGCGAGAGACTAGACGAGTGCGTGTAACAATGGCCGCGCGCGCGCGCGCGCGCGCGCACATGCTCCTTTCATTCTCGCTGCATGCAGCATGCAGCGTGTTCTTCGATCGGCGCGCGTCAAAACGGGGACACGGTCGCAATTCCTCTCCGCGCGCGCGTGGCCCTTTCACGTCACGGAATTACCTTTCTCAATGCTGCGGCTGCTGCACACACGCGGCATCGCGAGTCGCCTCGCGACAAATTAATCCCAATCATTAACGTCGCGTTTCCACGCCTCCGCGCCGCGTACTTATTATTAGTTATTGTTCCGCTCTTATCGGCCGCCCGTAGCTCCGCACGTGTGGTGTATCGCCGATCGTAATTTCGCGGGTCGCCCCGGCGAGGCAAAGGGGTGGGGGGAGGGCGGTCAACCGGTATTTTTATCGTTTCCTAGAAGGTCGGCGATATATACCTACCCGCGCGTTCGATCTCCGCGCGCGGTTGGACATAAATTCAATCGTCAAAGTCGCACCAAGTATAAGAGGTATCGTCTCTCTCTCTCTCTCTCTCTCTCTCTCTCTTGCGTGCGCGGAGACGCAGCTCACGGAGTTATAATCCCCGCGGCCGTCGATCCGCGACCGTCGTATTCCTACCGTCGCGTCGAGGGCTTACGTAACGGACGGGAATGACAGCAATTATTTTCTTCTTTTTCCGCTCGTACGGCGCTACACACACCTCGAGTGTATCATATATCGTCACAGTTCGATTGCTCCTCGCAAACACGACCGGGTGCAGGGATTTAGCGCCACTCGAACGCCCGCCGTCGCGCGGATTTCGCGCGCGCGCGTGCGGCATTTGTGGCTTGTACATTATCATATATAGGGGAAAAGGATATTGTATTTGGGCGAGTAAGACACATTATATAGAGTCGGTTTGCGCACCTGTACAAATATCTACTCGTCGTACCTGTATATATAGTGAATACTCCAATAGGCACTGCACGTCTTTCGCGAGGAGCCCACTCGATTATCACCGTCCGTGTATTCAGCCGTTAATACACCGAACATATGTATAGAAATGTGTTTTCCTTTCTTTTTTGGGAGGGGAGGGAGCGAACCGATGTCTCTCTTTTCTGAATGTAAATTTTGACGCGGCGCATCGTATTTCTCGTTGAAATTATACATCTCTCGGGGATTTTCTGAATACAATTAATTAGGGGTCGGTCGTATTTAAAATGACATTATTTAAAATATGTATTTTAAATAACAAAAAGTAAAAGATTTATTTAGTATTTTATTTATACTATATATATATTATTTTAAATAATAAATATTATTCTTTATTCTTCTTCTATTTTATATTTCTATTTTATTCTTTTATTATTCTATTTTATATTTAATATTCTAAATCTGTTTTTAGAATCTATTTTATATTTTTCACATTTTAAATAAGTCGTGTTTCTGGAATCTATTTTATATTTGTTATTTTAAGGTTATATCGGTTACTTTACCGACTTCTGCTTATCAAGGATCGGTCGTATTTAAAAAAAAATTATTTTAAATATGTATTTTAAATAAAAAAGGTAAAAGAATTTTATTTGGTATTTATTATTTTAAATAATTTCTTCTGATCTATTTCTCATTTAATATTTTTAATATGTTTTTGGAATCTATTAATTTATATTTTTGTTTTCATTTTAAATAAGTCGTATCAGTTTTTTATTGGCGATATTTTATTTCAAATAAGTTTCTGGAATCTGTTTTATATTTGTTATTTTAAATAAGTTGTATCAGTTGTTTTATCGACCCCTGCTATTAATACACCTTGGCGAGAGAAATTATTCTTGACCGTCGCGTTTCTTCCGGCGTACTCCAATTATACTTTTAAGATCACGTTATTTTCAGATTAATGGACGCGGGGAAAACACGACGCGAATATTTAGCAGTGAAACACGCAGCTGATAAGAGATTCAATGGAAATATTCATTGAATTTCTTAGGTATGCTAATTCATAATTGGCGGATACGTAACGCATTTCGAGCTGAAAATAGCTCTCCGCGGGCTTTCCTGATGCGTATCACATTCTCACGACAGGCAGACAATCGCGCGATTCGCGTACACTAATTACAATTTTATCGATCGCGGCCTGTCGCGCGTTTGTCGCCTTCGCAGACGACTTATGCAGACTTAACGGCCTGGCAACCGTTTTCGGAACGAGATGTTTATCGTCGTTACGTATTATCATGTGTTTGCTATTTATTTCATTGAGTAACGATGACGCCTCGCTGCACTCTCATTATCTGCGAAATACGGCTTACATAACTTGCGAGTAATTGTTTGAAAATAAAAGTCCACGGATCATAACACATGATTTTCGAATGTCAAACGCGTAGACGTATACTTTATTATTTCTCAATCCAATCGAAACGATTGCTCAATCAACGATAATTTGCTCAGATATTTATACACAGTTGAAAAATTTATGTTAAATTTAATTACATTTCACATCAGGTCCCAAACGACCCTATTCAAGTTTTTGTGTTAATTTAACACAAAAAGCGAACATGTTAGAGAGTAACTCAAATATTATTTACAAATATGAAAATTAATACAACACTCTGATACAATTTGGAAACCAATTGTGGGAGCATATTTCTTTAATAAAATTAACATTTACAATATGTTAAATTAACACCTACATTAATCTTTTATTCGTTCATCTTGGAAAATTTATGTTTCAAAACTACATTATTTTTGGCTATATATACAATCTTGACTAAAATTAGGCACCTATATATATGTTTTTACTTGTACTACTTTCTATTGACATTATATGCTAATTTAAAGATTCTTGAAACAAAATATACTTCACAAGAAATACTATAATAAATCAATTTTTTTAAATTAAAACGTTAAATAATAATTATTTAATAAGATGCCTAATATTTTTGGCCAAAGCTGTTTTTACTCATAAATTGCATTATTATAACATTAAATAATGTTAAACATTACATTCTGTTATTTTAACAT